TGCAAGCGTCGGGCACAAATGTGTGGTGTGTATAGCAACGCTGGAGCTATAATGTCAAGGAACATCCTATCGTTGAAAAAAAATGTAACAGCGGTGCACAACTCTTAACTCCATGATCACCCTCATAATACTACTGTACAGTCTGTTTAGATCATTTTCTTATGCTGATTGTAATGGGGAGTATCATATACTAGTATCATATCATGCATATGATACTAGTGTATGATACTACATCCTAAGTCTGGTTGTAATGGGGAGTATCATATACTAGTATCATGCATATGATATTAGTGTGTGATACTACCTCTGTAATGCATAGTATCATAAGTTAGTATCTTAGATTGACTTATTAATTGCCATGCATGACCCAAATTAGCAGAGCATTTAATATGATACGGTATCATGATATGATACTACATCCTCTCTTTCCTCATTTAATTGCGTGCCACATCATCTAAAACGTCTAGTTGGCATGCATGATACTACTTATGATACTCCCACTACAACCAGCCTAATGCATAGTATCATATATTAGAGGGTGTTTGAATCACTAGTGACTAGAGACTAGAGACTAGTAGTAGTCACTTTTAGTCAGTAAACCTCCAAACACCCCCGACTAATGGGTGACTAAAACTAGTTTAGTCCCTAGTCACCCCACCCCCAACTAAAAGTGACTAAAGTCTCTCCTCTAATTAATTGGCGGGCCCATCCTGTTGCGGGCGAGGCATCTGCCGCACCATCCCCTTCGCATGCAGGCAGGGGGCAGCCGCTCCCCTTTCCACTCCGCCGCTTCCCTTTCCACCGCCGCCGCCGCACTCTGCCGCCGCGGCAGCACTCCGCCGCGCCGCTCCCGCGTCTGTACTCCCGCCGCGCCCGCAGCGCTCTGCCGCGCCGCGCCCGCAGCACTCCGCCGCATGGCGTGAGGGAGAAAAGGAACAGGACTTTGCTGCTTTCCTTCCTTGCGCGGGAGTATAGCGGTAGTTGCTGTTGCACAAGGGAGAGAAGAGAGATAAATGGAAGGGAGAGAGAAGAATTTAATACTGAGACATTTAATGCTGACTAGTAGTAGTCACCTTCCAAACAGGGCCTGGCTAAAAACTTTTAGTCTGACTATTACTAGTCACATGACTAGAGAGTATCCAAACACCCTCTTAGTATCATGTAGTACTCTATTTATTGTCATGCATGACACAAAGTAGCATAGCATTTATTATGATATGGTATCATGATATGATACTGCACCCTATCTTTCTTCATTTAATGCTATGACACCTCATCAAAATTGTCTAGTTGGCATGCATGATACTAGCTATGATACTACCATTACAACCAGCCTTAATGACAACAAGTACGTTCAAATCATTCTCTTTTCTTAGGCTGCTGCCAATGCATGGATGCTTAGAAGAGGTGCTAAGCATATTAAATAGCTTAGCAACTATACTCCCCAATGCATAGGTGCTTAGCTTATGGTTGCTAAGCTTGCTTCATTTAATGATTTAGCAACTAAAGCTCTTCATGTATTGGTGGGCTTCCTTCCTTTAAATGTTTTGCCTAGGTTCACGCGCTTAGCATTGGTTCTTCCTGGGGTCATCACACTCATCTCTCTCTTATTAAATAACATGCCACATCAGATTTTTTGCCTACGTGAAAGGCTTAGCACCTGTACAAGGTGGAGCATTGGGAGAGGCCTTAATGACTTTATTGTGAAGATCAGAGACAACATTTGTAGTCTGCACGAATAAGACTTGAAAGGACAGGGTGTCGTTGGTAGGCAATGGAAAACGCACTATACAGTGACGAGTGTCCATATTGGTTTCTTTCCCACGCTGTTTCACCAGCCAAGAACACAAGTCCCCTCACCAAGATGCGGGATGTTCGATGATAAGATTTATAAGTCAACTAGCATATATGTCGTGCGTTGCAACGGGAGAGATATTTTCCGAGAAGTAACAAGAGAGATAAATTATGTGTTCACCAAAAACGGTATCCATAGTGGTGGGGCGACAGAGCGAGGAGCTGTGGTCTTCTCGCGAGTCATGTTTGTCCCACGAGATGTTAATATTGGTGGGCATGGCAGCGACTATACCTGGCCAAACCTCGGGCCGGGCCTAGCCAAGTCCGAGGCAAAAAACCTAGGCCCGGGCCCGGGCCGGCCATCGGGCCTGTTTTTTGGGCCCAAGCCCGGCCCGAACGCGTAAAAGCCCGCTGGGCCTCGGGCCGGGCTCCTTCAGAAAAGTGCAAAAATGACGGGCCCGAGCACGGCCCGGGAGCAACATCGGCCCGGGCCGGCGGGTACGGGCTTCCCATCGCCAAGACTAGTGGCGACCACCCAACTTGTGTTTTTCCCCTTCAGGTTCACCTTTGTGTCATGGTTGTGGTTGTCTCCTTATTTGGTAGTTGTGCGGCGACCTTCGTTGCATGGTTGCTTCGACCACTCTCTCCTACGATAACGTAACCAGATGGATTACTAATTGCAACGCATAAATTCCATTTTATTAGCATATAACCAGACAATCCCTTCTTTATCAGGGTTTATTCTCTTTAATTATTCTAGCGCTAATGTGCCCACAATTCTTCATAATTGGATCCAAACCAACATATTCTTTCTATTGGCACGCACCCACAATATTTTTTTTTATTCAATATATCAATATCAAGGTTTGAAATTGCTGACCAGGCCTGTCGCCTGGTCGCCCACAATATATTTTAATTATAACCAAGAAGCATATATTCTTTTTATCGTTAAATAGTGTGTGGACGCACAATAGTGCATTGGTAGCCCATTGGCAGGCACCAAAACGACTAATGTTTGTAAGGCACAATATAAATTTTTAACTAGCGACCTCAAAAACTCGACCTTGGGCTGCTAACCACTCGAACAAATGGGTTCTGCTAACCAATGGCCAACCCGAATGTTTAAGAATATGCTGCAGCGTCAGATTCAAAACTTTTTTTTGTTTTTTTGCTGAATTTTTCTGAAAACAAATTAATATTTATGAGTTGCCGAATATTTTTGGAAACATGAACAATTTTTGAAGCCCCGAACAGTTTTCAAAAGTACGAGCCTATTTTTGAAAATTGCGTTCATTTTTTGGAAAAAGACAAACATCATTTGAAATAGGTAGATTTAAAAAAATCATAGCCATTTTTTGACAACATGAACCTTTTGAAAAAACATGAACATTTTTAGAATGTGTGAACATGTTTTGAACATTTAGAACAAGTCCAGAAAATTTGTTTTTTAACAGTGAACATTATTTTGAATTTGTGAACATTTCACTAAAACAAGAATAATTTGAAAATCTGGAATATTTTTTAAAATGCAACTTATTTTGAAAATCTTGATTTTTTGTAATACACATTTTTTTTAAAAAAAGGTAACTATTTTAATTTTGAACACATTTTGCAATGGGAACAAAAAAGTAAAGTTTTGAAAATTTTACAAGATAGGAATTTTTTTTTTAATCTGATTCTTTTTCTAAAATATGGTAAACTTTGAAATTTCGAACGATTTTTTCAAGATTTTAATTTAGAAGAAAAGGGAAAATAATCTAAAATTGGTAAGAAAAGAATGATGAAAGAAAAAGAGAAAGGAACAGAAAAAAATAGAAACAGAACACAGAGAAAAAGAAAATGGTCCGGCCCAGTCTTGGGCGTCGTGTGCGAAGCTCCACTTATTCGACGCTGCGTGCGGCAAATAGTCTTTCACAGCTGTCTGGGCAGATAAATAAGTGGGCTGGCTTCGTCGGCCACAGCGTCCTCAGCCCATGTACGAAAATTGTTTTATGTTTTTTCTAGCAGACGGATGCACAAAAGTTTAGTACGACCTCTGATAGAAAAATAATTTTACGTCAGTGAACGGATGAAAAAAATCAGAGAAACGCACCTTACTTTATTAGTAGGTAATAGGTATAGGTATAGGTATATAGATATAGATAAGAGCACACCCCACCAAAAAAAAAAAACAAAGCACACCAACAATCGTCATAAGTCATTCATCATCACGACGAGTTTCCACCCTTCAAGCAACAACGCAAATACATCGACCATAAGACTAAAATATCTTCTTTCTTTGCGGGGACACAAGACTAGAATATTACCAGTTCCAACACATAAAAATTGACAAATTGGCACAAAGTCAATCAACCCAAAAGGACGGCCAAATAAACATGGATTGAAGTCGGATCCAGACAAACTTTGAAAGGCGATCTGAGCAGAAACAATATGCACTCCTCAAGAGATATCCTGACAACTTGGTCATCCTCGGTGAAACAAAGATGACCAAACCAGAATGGCATAAAACAATTTCGGGTCCAGCTGAACTGAAGCTGATGTTCATATATCAGAAAGCCTTAACAGTAGACCATGTTAAACTACTATTGTTACATTACTATATCACAGTTTCAACAGATATGGAAATTGTGGTTCGAGTTGAATTGAAAATGTTGTCCATATATCAGAAGCCTTAACAATAGATCATATTAAACCACTGTTACCTTACTATATCACAGTTTCAGCTGACATGAAAGTACAGCACAGAACTGAATCTACAAATGCAACGGCGGTCTTGGCCATTCCAGGTCCACCCAAACAACAAGATAAGTTCTACTAAACTAGATCTAGAGATTAAGAACAAGAATATAAACTTACATATACTGTCGAAAACATAGGTTGGTATACCAACAATTATTTACAAACAGAGAAATAAAAGATACCAGAATCAACATACTCAAATATTCAAAATAGTTCCAACAAAACGGTCAAGTTTCCATGATTAAGTACTAGAGTATTACAGCTGCATGGCTGCCAATAACAACATAAACACAAGCAGACTACTAAGTTGACTGAATAGCTAGCAGCATAAGTCAGGTACATGACTTCACTCAAGCACCAATAGCTTATCACAACTTACCCAAATTACTGTTGCTCATATTCAAGATCTAACTTCGCTATCATCATCAGAAAGATGGACAATTGTGAGGCTCCAATACACGAGACAGTTAGTGCCCATCTGCCAATGACTCCGAGAACAAAGGAACATATGGAAGATAAGGGCACCTGGAAATCCATCCAAGATCACATATAAAACGCAGCTCCTTAGAATCAATTTCGTATGAAAATAATTTCATCTGTAATCGGTGCCCCGGTAATGTAGTTTCGACAGTCATGAATAGCACATCGTCTTCTGGGTGGGCTGAGATAACACCGTAAAATTCCTTGCTGCTTAAACCGAACAGTTGCAAGTAGCTGGCATTGTGCTTCAAGGTCCAATAATCTTCACTACTAGAATCTTCAAGGACCCAGATTGATACTTCAGCAGCACCATAATTTGCGACATACAATTGTCCACGTGATGCATAAATATAAGGACCACAGCGAGCATCATTTAAAGTAGGAACAGGAATGAAACGACAGTTTCCCTCCACGTCGATGGCTGCAACCAAATTATTATAGGAACATAAATACAACACCCCACTGAGAAATGTGCCACCTGAAAAGTTGCGTATCTCAATTGGATCGTCCCATTCAATTTGATGTGTCCAACCTCCAGCTTTGGATGAGTAGATCCCCACCTCTTCGATGTTATATTCATACTTCAAATTCCAATTCAAAGCCACAGCAGGTACCAACTCGAACACATAGAAATGGGAGGAGACGGCCGGATCAAATCCCAGGCGAGCATACGATTCCGAGGACCATTCATTGGCAGGGAAGGTTACCCATTTCTCAGTGGCAGGATTGCACACCACATAATCCGGTTCCTCGGGATAAGGCTTCGAACGTCGACAGAGGAGGAGGCCGTTGCAGCAGTCCAACAAGTCAATCTCCTCGCATTTTGGCAGGAACGAGAGGGAGGCGTCAATGGGGCACCAGTTCCCTGAGACGCTTCGGTAACCATGCAAATCATGTGGACGGCTGGCCATGTCGTAGGTTTTGTAGAAGAAGCCGGCGAGGGTCGACCGGGGAAGCTTCTTGCGGTGGTCGGGGTGGGCGATGAGGTCCCGCCAGCGCGTGGAGACGCACTTGCAGCAGCGGGTGGACTTGAACGGCACGCGCGAGATGATCTCGACCAGGATGTCGTCGGGGAGCTTGGCCGTCGGATCGCTGATGAGGGCCGTCTCCATGGATCCCGTCGCCATCTCCATGGATCCCATGAGGGCGGCAAATCTGCAGATCGGGGAGGAGGAAAGGTTAGAGAGATACGTCCGGCTAGCAGTGAGGGGAGAGTGAAGGAAGAGAGGAACTACCAGATGCGTGGCGCGCGAACAGCGGCGAGAGCGCCGGCGTTGGGTGCTGCCATCCGCGCCGGCGAGTGGGTGGCGGCGAGCCGGTGAGGGTTTGGTTTGGGTGCGAGGCAGCGAGGTGGATTTTTATTTTTTGAGACAAAGGCGGCGAGATGGATGGACGGATGCTGCGGAACTGGGCTGGAACCGGAAGGACGGGCGCGTGAAGTTATCTGGGCTTTTTACTGGGCCGTGTGAGTCGCACTATTTCGCACACGTACACCATTTTGCGTTTCTAAAAAAAACGTACACCATTTTGCAGTCCCTCAACAAACAAACATACACCATTTTGAAGTCCTAATACAAAAAAAAAGTAGGTCGAGGAGTGGGAGCCGTCCCTTAATTATTTTTTGAATTCTCGTATATCCTTGTTTTTTGCGTAGGTTTTGGTCTCCTGGCAGCATCGGCGAGGTAGTGGCAGAATCTACCTTGACAACTTCTGATCCGGTGGCGACGAAGGGCATGTATGGATTTTGTGTTGCCTATTTGTTAGTTCTTTTCAGATCTTGATAATTTATGTGTTAATCAAGGGAAGTCATTGGCTGACTCTTGTCACAGAGACTTCGACCTCCTTCTTTCATTTGCTTCGCAGCATGGTCTTGATAGTTTCACCAACCCTCTCGACTAGTGGGAAACATTGCAAGCTTGCACTGCATGGGGCAAGACCCTAGCCGATGTTCATTTGGCAGTTATTAGATCTTGTTTCTAGCATTTAAAGCCTGGTATGAAGAGGATGTACATTTGCAAGTGTCCCTTTCCTCTACCGCCGGTTTAGTGCAATTTTCAGGCTTTGACGGACAGCATACTTCCTCTGTTTTTATTTACTCCGCGTATTAGCTTTGGTCAAAGTCAATATAAACATTGACAAAGTTTAGAGACAAAAATATTAACATATACAATAACAAATCAATACCATTAGATTCATTATTAAATATACTTTCACATCATATTTTTTTATGGTAAATGTTTATATTATTTTCTCTAAACTTGATCAAACTTTGCAAAAATTGACTTCAATCAAATTTAATATGCAGACTAAATAAAAACCGAGGGAGTAGAATCTTAGGAAGAAGGCAGCCAGTATGCTTTTCGGTGTAATTTTATCTTTTGCAGGTCAATTTATGTCATGTTGTCTTTTCACTGTGCTGATTACTGTCTTCCTTGATAATTATCAGTAAGATATCCTTTGGGTATTATTTTCTAAATTAAATAAAATAGGCCATGACAAGAAATTAGAGGAATATTTTCACTCGGTAATTGGTCAAACTGACACAAAGATAACAGGCAGTGCTGGGAAGATATCATGGCAACTTCGTCATCCTGGTCCTTTACTCATGTCTATGTAGCCGATTCAACTGTCTTTCCACAGGAAGGTATGTATCGCTTGGCAATAATGACAAGTCTGAGGTTGAGCAAACAATAATAAGTTGGCATGTAGATAAATCTGTCAATTATGTTCTCGATATTACCATATATGATCCTTAGCGATAGGTCAAGTTAAACTTCTATTTGCCGCAGCTTGAGCAGAAATGATGAAAAAAAAGATCAGAGCCAAAACTGCAGAACGAAGGGCTCCCTGATCCTCGGAGGCTCTAGAAACTGAAGCCACCGCTGGCGTCGTACCCTAACGATGAGTTGGAGATCACGCGGCTAATGATGGCCCACCGAGCAGCTAGTCCCGGAGGCATCGGATTCCCATGCCGCACATTTCAAGTAAAGAAGGTAATCAACATCCTACACAAACTTGTGTATTACTGGGACTGTATCCAACAGCCTGCGTCTCTGCTAACTGTCCTGTACATGAGGCTAATTTTCTTCTTGTACTTCGCCTGGTAAAGAATTTTCATTTTCTCCACTGCTGAAGAATCTGCCGACACAAACATAACTTTGTCATCCTGGTCGAGAGATGTTCTGGCAACTTTGCCATCCTGATGCACCATGCCAACCCCACTGTGCATGAACATATGCAGGTCAAATTGTCCTCCATTATCCAATCTGAACTTCCTCCAGATAGATGTCACTTGGCAGAAAATCAGAAGCCCGAGGTGGAGCAAATAATAACAAGCTTCTCTGTTGATAAATCTGCTAGTTATGTAGATCATAAAATTCCTAGCAAGAACAGGGTGAAGTTACAATTCTGAGTAGGAGTGCCCCCATGACTGAACCAACTGAACGGGCAACTCAACTTCTATATATTAGAAACTGCAGCTGGAGAACCACGCTTCAAAGCCGGTGAAGGTGACAGAAAGATAATCGAACCAGAATGGTGAAAAATCACTTGTGCTTCACGTTAAACTGAAACGGCAGTTCATCTACCGGAAAGCCTTAGCAATAGATCGTGTTAAGCTACTGCTATTACATTACCATATATCACAGTTTAAGCACATGAAAATAAAAAACAAAGACCGAATAATCTTAGGCTCTAGTAATGCAACAGCACTTCCAGGTCCACCCAAACAGAAAAATCTTAGGCTCTAGGGTAGAGCTAGAGGTTAATAAGGAGGAAATAACCTTTAGCGCACTAAAAATAATAATCCACAAACAGATAAATAAGCAGAGACAATAATGTAGACATCAATACTCATAATAATTGCAACAAGACGATCAATTATCCTTAGTTTAATAGTAGGGTATTGCAGCTGCTAACATATATGACCAAACAGAGTTTTAGTTAAGTTTACTGAATAGCTTGCCTCATAAAGTGTGGTACATGAGTCCACACTTAAGGTCTACCCAAATCACTGTTGTTCCGCTCGTACTCACGATGTAACACTAGTATCATCAGAAAGATAGACAATTGTGAGGCTCCAATACACAGGACATTTAGTGCCCATCTGCTAATGACTCCGAGAACAAAGGAACATATGAAAGATAAGCCCGCCTGACATACCAGCCAAGATCAGATACGAAACACAGCTCCCTAGAATCCACGTCGTATGAAAATAATTTCACAAGCTCTTGGAACCCCGATCTCAATCCTATGGTTATGAATACCATATTGTGTTCTGGGTGTGCTGAGATAACACCATAATATGGCATGCGGCTTGAATACACTTCTCCAAACAGTTGCAAGTAGCTGACATTGAGCTTCAAGGTCCAACAATCTTGGCTACTAGAATCTTCAAGAACCCAGATTGATAGTTCAGAAGCACCCCTATTTGTGAGATGCAATTGTCCCAGTGATACATATACATTAGGAACAATAGGGGCATCATGAGAAGTAGGAAGAGGAATGATCCTACAATTTCCCTCCACATCGATGGCTGCAACCGAATTATTATCAGAAGGTAAATACAACACCCCGCTGAGGAATGTGCCACCTGAAAAGTAGCGTATCTCAATTGGATCGTCCCAAGCAATTTGATGTGTCCAACCTCCAGCTTTGGAAGAGTAGATCCCCACCTCTTCGATCCTATAATCATGTCCACCTTTGATAGGTACCAACTCAAACACATGGAAATGGGAGGAGACGGCAGGGTCGAATCCCAGGCGAGCAAACGACACAATCCGGTTGGCAGGGAAGGTTACCCATTTCTCAGTGGCAGGATTGCACACCACATAATCCGGTTTCTCGGCATAAGGCTGCGAACATAGACAGAGGAGGAGGCCATTGCAGCAGCCCAAGATATCAAGCTGCTCGTATTCAGGTAGGAACGAGAGAGAGTCGTCAAAAGGGCACCAATCCCCCGAGACGCTGTGGTAAACATCATGAAAACGTGGATCGCAGTCCATGCCGTGGTTTTTGCAGAAGAAGCCGGCAAGGGTCGACCGGGGAAGCTTGTCGCGGTGGTCGGGGTGGGAGATGAGGTCCCGCCAGCGCGTGGAGACGCACTTGCAGCAGCGGGTGGACTTGTACGGCAAGCGCGAGATGATCTCGACCAGGAGGTCGTCGGGGAGCTTGATCGTTGGATCGGTCATGAGGTCCGTCTCTGTGGATCCCGTCGCCATCTCCGGGGAGGCAACGAGCGGCTAATCTACAGATCGGCGCGGGGGAGGGGAGGTTAGAGCACTAGCTAACCGTGAGAGGGAAGAGAGGACCTACCAGATGCGTGGAGCGCCGGCGCCGGGTGCTCCCGTCCGTGCCGGTTAGTGGGTTGCGGCGAGCCGGCGAGGGTTTGGCCTGGGTACGCGGCGCCGGCGGCGAGATGAATGCAGGAAGTAGGACCGCATTTATCTGGGCTTTTCACTGGGCCTTGTTAGCACATTTCGAAAAAGGAAAAGAGCACTTCGTCACTACTTGATTCCCGAAAGAAAACTCTTCTAAAAATAGATTCTCCAAAGAAAACAATCAGTACTTTTATTTCTCAACAAAAATAAGTCAGTACTTTTTTTGAGATAGAGAGAATCATCAGTCAGTAAAAGAAGGAGAACAGAGGGGAGACTTCGGAAAGTGCATGGATGAACACGGATACATATGAATCCACTTTAAAAAACACATTTCTAAATACTAAAAAAAATATGAAAAGGGTTACACGGGTACATCTTCATGTTCTATGTGTGTGCATAAAATTTCATGGAAAAATAAATTTTTTTTGTGACCAGTGCAAAAAAGACAAACAATTTTGTCATGAAACGCTATTTAGAAACACTGAAATTTGTTTTTTTTTTGCAAAGACAAAATAAAAAAACATTTTTTCACAAAACTTTGTGCGGCGCACACATATTTACGAACATGTATGCATGAAATTTTCTTTTGATTTTTTTGAGATTTTAAAACATACGTAAATTGTATTTTTGGAAGGTGGGTGCAGATGCCTCTGCGTTCAAGACGTGCCCAATCGGGAGTATCCCCTGTCTTATTCTTATAGTAGATGAGAATACTTGAACCCGGGCCGGCGACGACAACCATTGTGTTGTCTACCACTTCACCCAAAAGTACTTTTGAAGAGAACAAATTGCATCTAAATTGCACTCACAATCTAACGTTAACGTCAATCTTTCCTTTTTGCATGTTGATATTGGATGAACATGTATATATTCCAATATATATAGATAGATACTCCACTAGATAGATAGATAGATAGATAGATAGATACTCTGTTAGAGTATGTAATGGGTCTAATGAATTTGGGCTGGCGGTATAGCCCGTCAATCTTAGGATTAATTAGAAATAAAGGTCGCTTACTTAGGGGTTTAGTAAGTCTTGCTAGAGAGTCAAGTAAACCTCTCTATATAGGGGGAGGAGATGTATCAATCTAATCAAGTAAGAATTAAGAAGGAAATCCGTTCCCTCTTGCCCGGCCATGGACAAATAGGCCCCCGACTGGTCCTCTTACACCCTCCTTCTAGTAACATCATAACATACTTTTAGCAAGTTGCAAACAATCTGGCTAGGAGTATATTTCTTTACTTGCCTGCTTAACTGAATTTTTAACATTCAGTATACAGTCGATGAACTACTCAAAAAAAATCATGTCGGTCAACTCTTTCAGTTGGGTTAAATTATGCAAACCATTATTCAATTGGGTTAAATTATGGAATGCCAACTGTCACATCTAGGCTACGCAAAAACATGACAATCTTTCTCCTTCATTTTACTCTCCAAAACAGTGCCAGGGTTGTTTTTCTTTTTTGCAGAAGTAGAGTTTGTTGTGGAGCAGACTTTATATCAAGCAACTATCTAGACTACACTTTATATCAACCAATTTACACTCCAGCACGAGCGGGCAGGCTGTGGCAGATAAGCAGGCCGAAGGGCACGTTGACGGTGAGGATGAGGCACGCGCAGTCAACGCCAGTGCAGTTTCGGTCGCCTCTCCTCTCCCAACGCCTGCAGGTACTTTTGGCCGGCATCGCCTCCTCCCTCTTCTGTTGAGGTCTAGCCGAACCCTAGCTGGCCATAGCTCACCCTCTCTTGCGCGCTAGGGATGACAATTTTGTCCATGGATATATACCCGAAAATAGTGAGCATGGGCAAGACTTGGCAATATTTTATACTCATGAGTAATGGGTATCCATACCCGCAAAATATATGCGTAGGGCATGGATATAAGATTGCGCTCATGGGTAACCCAATGGGTTCCCAGAAAATATTAATAAATGAAAATAACTCCTATGATATGTGGGGTCTACATCCAACTCATATTGTCTAACTCTTAATTCCTTATTCCCTAAACCAACCATGGCTAATAGGCTCCCAACAACCAGCTCACACTCCTCCTATGTCCTATGTGACTCCTTAAAATTATGAAATCTTGACTCATCACCAACACACTCTCTTCCAACTCTTGAACTAGCAAACCCCAGTTCCCGTCGTCGCCTTCCCCTATGTTGGCTTCCACCAACCACTTATCGTAATCCTTTGTCGGCTGGAATTGGCCACACACCAAAGGACGCCGTGTCGGTACTAGATTGATTGCCCATCATCACTTGAATATTACACTCATGTATGTACTTCTTTAAAATTTAAATGCTATATATGATGTATCCATTGGATACTCATTGGGTATAGGATACCCGATAGGTATGGGCATGGGTATCAATTTGTGCCCATGGATATTGAAATAGGTGAATATAGAAAGTTTCTATGGGTATGTGTTTGGGCAAGAGGAGTTTGTATCCATCCATACCCTACCCATTGTCATCCCTGTCGCGCGCCGTCTCTTTGGCATGAACCGAGAAAGAAGAAAGGAGGGACACAGGATGTTTTTCCGCGACAAATGCCTGCTGCACTGACAACAATTTTCTTTTGACCACAAACTCAGGCCACGGCCATTACAACGAACACAAGAGGGGCTTCATATCCAGGGCCACGCCAGGGCACACACCCCGCGTTTTCACCCACTCAGGCCTCCTTTGGTTTGGAGAAATTTTGTAGAATTTTCATAAGATAGGATTTTTATAGGAAGAATTCCTTCAGAGCTCTTTGGTTCGTAGGAATGAAATCCTATTTTTATAGAGGAATTCTTTCTATCCTTCACATTTCATAGGAAAATAAACATTAGCCTAGACTCAATGTAAAAAATCCTATGGTGTGAATCAAATGGTATATCCTTTTTTATTTCTATGCATAGGATTTAAGATGCATATCATCTCATTTCCTATGGCTTTTCTATTCCTATGATTTTTCAATCCTATAAATCAAAAGAGGCGTCACACTCGACGCGCACGTACACGCCCGGATTGCGGCGAGCCTGCAATGGAACAACGCGATCACTCCTACATCTGCGTGTCGGGTGCACACACACACACGTACACCCGCGCACACACTCACGCACGCATGCACACACACTTGGATTCTACACAGACACTATCTAGACACGCCCCATACATGTCCCAGGCACGGACTTGGTCTAGCGCGCTCACGTTGGTCGCCATCGCCGCGGCATGGCCTATTTCCAACACTCACCCCCTAAGCCATGATTACAAAAGGGTCGGCCTGACATCGTCAATGTCGGCGAGGAGTGCCTTCTCCTCGTCCTCCCCCTTCTTCGGCTTCCAGGGCCGCCGCATGCTCGCCGTCAGCGGGGTCGCCACGGCAGCAGACTTGACCTGGCGCACTGACGCCGGTCGCCATCGTGCCTGCTTCTTCCTCTCCGGCGATACACGCCGTTGAACGCATCACACCCGGCAGGACCGACACACGATCCACTGTCGCAGCGCCACCACTGGCGATCACGCACAGGCTGACACACGGCCCGACGACCTCATCGCACCGCCGCCACTCAACATTGTCACGCCACCGGCCACCACCAGTGCGCCTACGGCGAGGGGAGCGAACCCGTTACTAATCAGCTGTAATACCAATTGTTAGGGTCTAGCCGAACCGTAGCTGGCCCTGGCTCACCACCTCTCTCTCTCGCCGTCTTTCTGGCACGAATCGAGGAAGAAGAAATGAGGGACACATGATGTTTTTGGGCGACAAACGCCTGCTACACTCACAGCAATTTCCTTTGAGCACAAACTCAGGACACGACCATTACAACGGACACGAGAGGGGCTTTGTCCCCTAGGACCATGCCACGGCACGCACCCCACGATTTCCACCCACTCACGTGCCTGATCCGGCTTGCTCTGGCTGCGTCCACGACGCGCACGTAGATGCCCGGGTCTCAACGAGCCCGCAATGGAATGACGCGTTCACCCTCCTCGTTCGCCAACGATCTAGCCCTACATCTGCGTGTTAGATGCACACACACACGCACATCCGTGTACACACTGACGCACGCACACACAGACTCAGATTCTAGCCAGGCACTATCTGGACACGGCCCATACATGTCCTAGATAATGCCTAGACAATGCGCGCGCCGCCACGGACTCGGCCTGGGCGCGCTCACGCCGGTCGCCACTGCCGCGACATGGCTTATTTCCAACATCTTCACTCGAAACTAACTAGTGGTCCCCAGCTCGATGCAACTACCAGCTCCGGGCAGGCGACCAGCAGCAGCAACTCCGCAGATTGAGCACCACCACTCAAGATCGGAGAGCCGGAGGGGGGGAATTCTCATTTTTTTTCTTTAATATGCGGACGGAGATATGAGAGGAAGAGAGCGCCGGCGACACGAGCGAGGGAAAGGGCGCGGCAACACATGAGCTCGAGGAGAGCCGGCACGGGTGAGAGAAGGCGCCAGCGCCAGCACCGGCAATGTGCGAGGGAGAGATGTGGATGAGTCGCGAGTGAGAGAGGGATGCGAGTGTTTCGCTACCATGTCCCCTACTGAAGTGTCCCCGACCGACATCGGGGAATAAATGGACAACACACTTTTTGTGCACGACGGAGCGAGTCTGAATTAAACTTTTGCTCCGCGACTTATAAAAGTGAACGGAGGAAGTAGTCCGGTAGTTTTCCCACGTGAAGTTTGATCAAATGAATGAGTACAAAGACAATACGGCCAAATTATCATAGATTCGAGTCCAATCGAGACAAAGAGTTTAGCAATATATCATTTTAAAATTTCTATTTACATGACCATAAAGCTGCAAGCGCAGAGGCGCCGGCGATTTTGAGCAGAAACGCTGAACAAAAAGAACAGAAGAAATAACCCACGACCTACAAAAGAAGTCTTGTTTCATCTTATTATCCCCTCCGACGCTCTAGAAATCGAACCCGGGCGTCGTAGCCTCCGGCCGAGTCGTAGATCGTGTGGGCAATAATCTCACCCCAGAACATGGCCAGCCTACTTCATCCCAAACTTGCGGAGGTAGTACTCCTGCTCGTCATCCGAGTCGGACGACTCGTCGCCGGTGCGTTCCCCGGGGAGGTAGACCCGGTACGTCTGGTCAGGGAAGCGAGCCTTCTCCTCCTCCATAAAGATATCCCACCGCGCCACAATCCTGGCCATGATCGTCTCGTGGTCTTCCTCCGCGTCCGAGTCGTGGTACACCTTGTCGTAGGGCACATCGTCGTCGTCCGAGCCGCAGCAGCAGGGCTTGACAGTCCCCGCCTCCTTGGCCGCCTCCGCCTTGGCCTTGCGGACCGCCGCCTCCGCCTCCGCCTTCGCCCTGGCCTTGCGGACCACGTCCTCCTTGTGCGCCTTGGACTTGGCCTTGGCCTTGGCCTTGACGATCGCCGCCTCCGGTTTCCTGACCATGGAGAACGCCTCCTCCTCCGGCTCCGCGCTGCCGACGGTGAACGGCCCGAGGCGGCTCTTGGTGGATTGGGGGTGAAAAGCCGGGTTTCTCTGTCTCTCTCGCCGGAGGAAAACGGGAGGAGGCGGCGGCGGCTGGCATATATATATGTTGCGTGTCAAGGCGAACAAACCCCCAGGAGCCTCTCTTTCTCGGGTCGGACTCGGCTCTCGTCTCCGGACGGGCCTCTTCCATCGTACTCGTTCAATGGGCCCCCATCACTACTTTTTTTTCTTTCTGCTAACATGTTGCGTGTCTCGAAGGAAAAAGATCTACTACCGCTCTAAAACAAAAGTGGAAAGAATGAAAATCTTTTTTTAACACAACACAATCGAAGTCCCTCATATACACGAGCATATACTCACCCATATGATCACACGCACATCGTATCCTATGAACACCTTTAAAAAACTGAGCCGGCACATCATCTTGAGATTGACAAAAGAAACAAAATTAACTATAGCGTTTGGCCAGCCTTTTTTTGGCTTGATTTTTTATTTCCAATGGTTTCTATTAAAATACATTGCAAAAACGATATATCAGAGCATTAGACATTTGTGGATTTCAAAAAACATTCGTGAGTTCAGGGGAAAAATCCAGATTTTTAAAAATGTTTGTGAATTTAAAAAATTGCAAGCTAAAAAATTCGAATTTCCAAAAATGCTGGCTTCATAAATGTTTAAGATTTATTATTTACTGAATTTAGAGAAAAAATATGAATTTTCAAACAAATCATAATTGTTTAAACGTTCCTGAATTTCAAAAAATCTTCATGATTTTAAAATATATGGTCACAAATATTGAATATGTTCATGGATTCAAAAAAATATATCAGATATGGAAAAATGTTCCTGAATCCAGAATAAAATGTTCGCAAATTCAAAGAATGTTCACGAATGGCTTTCAAAAAATATTAATGAAATTTAATATTTACAAATAAAGGGAAATAAAAGGGAGAAACCTATAAAATCAGAAAAAGGAATTTTCACTAGAAGGAAGATTCTAGAAGCAAACCTTCCCAAAACCGATGGGAGAAAGAACAGTGGACCGGCCTACGAACGCTCAGTGGGGGCATGTGGTCGGTATCCAGCGACCCACGCGTGGAATAGAAATCCCATCGACTCTCTACTTGGACTTTCCAATAAAAAGAAAAGGGAAAACACTACAACTTCCAAACTTATGTTGTCAAGTGTAAAAAAACACTTGGTCTCCACCACTAAGCGCATGAGACCTTTGCTAGACATGTATAATTTCCCTAGTTTTCCTTACTAACTTTGTAACATGTTCTTTATGTTACACCATTGTACATTGCCACTACTAATTATAAATGAAAAAGACTCACATCAGTGGTTTCCATACAGTTTTTGGTCAAAAAAAAGAACGTTCAAGGATGAATATGTCTCTCTTTTCAACTATGATTGTTTGCTCCCTAGTGCGTAGTCTATAGTGTAAGTTTAATGGTTATGTCACAATAAAATTGATTCATATGCCGACAAAGAAAATGGAAACATCAAAGGTCAAAAGGAAAAGTAGGGAATAAGACTTCTCTGTTTCCTCAAATAAAATGGGAACTGATAAAAAAATCGATACTTAAGCTCCTACTAAAAAAATTAGCATTGGAAGTGAAAGAATGGGCCTAAATCTTGGGTCATGCAGGGCCTATAATCGGCCGTCAAATGCATGCGCCAAGGCGGAGGGGTTGCAGGGAGGGCAGGAAACAGTGGGAGGTGGAACGGCGGAGCAAGAAGAACACGACTGCATGTAAATTAATGAACGGTCATTGTACCAGCCCTAGGATGAAAACATAGGGCAACCATTTTAGTTTTCTTAAAAAATATCATTGGGCAACGTTGACACAACCTACTGAACTAATAGTATTTGGTTGATGACGGCGGAGCAAGAAGAACAATGCTGCATGTAAATTAACCGACGGTCATTGTACAAGCCCTAAGATGAAAACACAGGGGCAACCATGTTAGTTTTTTTTTAGTATCATTGAGCAACGTTGACTCAACCTACTAAACTAATTGTATTTGGTTGATGACAGCGGAACAAAAAGAATAAGGCTGCATGTAAATTAACCAACAGTCATTGTACATGCCCTAAGATGAAAACACAGGGGCAACCATGTTAGTTTTCTTAACAAATATCATTGAGCAACATTGACACAACCTACTAAACTAATTGTATTTGGTTGATGATGACGGAGCAAGAAGAACAAGGTTGCATGTAAATTAACCAACGGTCATTGTACCTAAGATGAAAACATAGGGCGGCCATGTTAGTTTTCCTAAAAATATCATTGAGCAATATTGACACAACCTACTGAACTAATTGTACTTGATTGATAACATGAACATTTTTTTACCAACAAAATTCGGAGATGCCCTAACAGGACTGTCTTTTTTCTTTTTGGCGGAAACTCTAATAAGCCTGTCTATTCGCATCATTGTCTCAATGGACAGTTCAGATCCTTTCTGGCATTTGTTGCGAAGCTCAGAGAGATTGTCCACATCATTATTTTTTGACATTGTTGCGAAGAACAGGGACAGCAGTTGAGGTCTGCAAGACTGCAACTGTACTACAGCATGTTGGGATCATTTTCTTAATGGCATTATTGCCAAGATCGGTTCTGGTCTGCACGAATAAGACTGCACCGGACTCCGTCATAAGCACAATGTTGTCAATTGGCACCAAACAGCGCCATTAGCATGAAAAGGAGCTTTAAAGAAAATATTTCCTTCGTAAAGAAATATAAAAATGTTTAAATTACTACTTTAATAATCTAAACGTTCTTATATTTCTTAAGAGAGTAGCATGAAAAGGCGCAGCATACAGTGCGGAGTGTCAAAACTGTCATCGGCGACTATTTCGAACCGAAAGTTTCTTTCCCGAACCCACTCTTCAACTAAGCAGGAAGGGCATGTATAATTGCTATCTTAAAAATGCCACGTAGGATAAATAATAAGGTGAAAAAAAAGTCATAAAATAATATTGTCTTCTTTTAAATAAGAAAAGACAAAAGATGATCTCTTAACACAATATGTCTCACCACATTTTTAGAAATGATTAGTTATTGAAGATAAAGATAAGAGATGTGTCATCTCTAAATTATATGCAAGATTTTTTTAAAATTATTAGTTATTGAAGATAAAGTTAAGAGATGTGTCATCTCTAAATTATATGAGAGATTTAAGATAAGACTATTTTATCAATCATTATACATGCCCTGAGCCAGAGCAGAATTTTCCTCGCAAGATGCGGAAAATTCCACCAGCCGATCCGTAAAGGAGTCAATAAGAACACACCAGACTCTCCGGAATTCATTCACCGTCACGCCAAGTTTCCAACATTCACGCGCCAACTAGAATACTACAGTTCCAACACGCAAAGTTTGATCAAACGAATCGAATGAATGAGCACAAAGACAACACGGCCAAATTATCAGCGATTCGAGCCCAATAGAGACAGAAACTTACAGAACATATCATGTTAAAACTCATATTTACATTACCATATCACACTAGCAGCGCGCGGAGGCGCCGGCGATTTTGAGCACAAAATCTGAAGACAAAGAACTGAAGAAATACCAAGAGCGTACAAAAGAACTGTGCTGCTGCATATCTGATCCTCCCCGACGATCTAGAAATCGAAGCCACCGCCGTCGTCGAACCCAGCGTCATAGCCGGCGTCATACCCTCCGGCGGAGTCGGAGATCATGTCGCCGATGAGGAGCCCGCCGAGCGCGCCTCCGAGGAGCCCCGCGCCGAGGCCCATCCCCATGCCGCTCTTCTTCGGCGGCTTCACGGCCTGCTGCTGGTACCCGTACCCGGCCGGCTGCTGTGGCGGGTAGCCGTAGCCGCTGTACCCTCCTTGCGGCGGCGGGGGAGGGTAGCCGTACCCGGCCGGCTGCTGCGGTGGGTACCCATAGCCGTACTGTGGGGGCGGGGCGCCGTATGGAGCGCCGGTGCTGGGTCCCGCGGCGGCCGCTGGGTACGCCGTCACTGGCTCGCCTGCCTTCGCCGGCTTTCCTGACGGACCAGCGGGTGGGTAGCCGGCGGGTGCGGGGTAGGCGGTGGATGGCTCGCCTGTCTTGCCAGCGGGTGGGTAGCCGGAGGGAGGCGGGTAGGCACCAGCGGTTGCTGCCCCGTCGGCCTTCGCCATCTGCGGGTACGCTGACTGCGGCGGGTACGCGTTACCAGGCGGTGGGTAGGCGGACGGAGCCCCGTAGGCGTCGGCCTTGCCGGCCGGAGGATACGCGCCCTGCGGCGGGTACGCGGCGGCGGGGGGAGGCTGCGCGTACGCGGCCTGCGCACCACCGTAGGCGCCACCGGCCTGGCCCTGGGTGACCTCGCCGAGCTTGTACGAGAAGTTGAGCACCCCCTGTGGCTTCCCGGACCCGATCTTGCGGACCTGGTAGGCGACGAACTTGACGGGCACGGGGCCATCAGGGGCGCCGGAGAGCAGCTCGGAGAGCGGGATGTGGACCTCGCCGACGTCGCGGTCGCCGAGGGCGCGCTCGGCGCGGAGCAGCACGTGGACGGAGCCCGCGGCGTTGGCGGGGACGGTGAAGCGGACAGTCGCGTTCCAGGTCGGGTTGCGGCCGCCGGCGCGGTCGGTGGCGACGCGCTGGCGGGAGCGCGGGTCGCCGGAGAGGGATACGACCGCGTACACCTCCATGGCCGAGAAGAGGTTCACGTCCTTGAGGTCCTTGCCCGATATCAGGGTCAGCTCCAGCGCCCTCTGCGCCATGGCGTCGACGGTCTTGGCGATCTCGGTGTCGATTGCGATTTCTGTGGATCGAGAGAGAGGGGAGAGCAGATCTGGCCGTGGATGGATGTATCCGAAGACTCGGTGGTGGGATCGTTGGGAGAGCACAGGGCTGCGCGTATTATATGGCGGGGAGGGAGCGGAGGAGGCTGCGGGGGTGGTTCCCCCACGCGCATGCTTAGCCTTTAAGGCTGATGCGCGGGCCATGTCCTCCGTGGGTCCGTCCTGTCAGTGGGATGAGTAAGGTTTGTGGTAGGTCCTTCGTGAATAACGCGTCGTTCTCAGCCAGTTTCGGGACACGCGGACGACGGGGGCTCCCCGCACAGCATGCATGACGCGTGGTCCCTGGCATGCGGTGGGTCCCACGTGTCATCGAGGGGACGCGGTGCGCGTGTTCTAGGCGGCGGCGGTTGCGTCACGAATCATCGCCCCGTCCCCACAGTAGAGGGATTGAATTGAAAAAAAATAGCCGTGCCATTCAGGTTAGTGCGGTGGGGCGCACGCGTCGGCTCCCAGCGGACATGACGTCCTTGGGTGTGCCATCCTCTCTCCCCAAAGTGGACCCCACGCACGCACGTTGACGGCTGACCGGCGCCCGTGTGGGTGGGGCGGCGCAGCCTCGCGACGAATCTCGGCCGTCGTTAGTGGCGGCGGCGGCAGGTCGGGATTCGTTTCCTGTGCGGTTGCACTTGCAGGCTAAGGAAAAGTGAGTGCGCGTGACGGGAGAGAAAGGGAAGCACTCTCTCTCGACGCGGGCACGACGCGGCTGCTCCGTCGCCGTAGCTTTCCGCGCATTGCGCTGCGGTAGTACTGCACACGGAAGGAAGGAGGGATTCGTTCGGCTTTGGTTGGGGCCCTGCGCCTGCTGCATCCTGCATGGTGTGGCTCGCCGGACACCGCTCGAGTAAAGTAGACGTCGTACGCGCTATGGTTCGGGGCTGTTTGGTCTTAGGCCTTGAGTTACCACATTTTTTTTTCGGGTAAAAGGGAGCTTTATTATAAGGTCACAGTGTTATAATCGAGAGGCCAAAGGTCCTCAATACATGATGCAACCGAGTGAATCCACACAGCCGTGGTTCTCTCGGTGCGGCTATAGTTTGTCAATCGATCTGCAACACTATTCTGACTCCGATGTAATTTCTGAGGTAAAACTCCCTTTCCTTCATCAGGTCTTTAATCTCCAGTACCAAGTGTCCATATGCTGATTTGGATAGATCATCATTTGCCAAAGTTGTTAACGCAGTCGCCGAGTCTGACTGCACCATCACCGGAAGAGATGTGTGTTGAATGGCCAAGGCCATTCCGTGCATGATAGCGTGGATCTCCGCCTCCAACGCATCATTACAATTAAACATGTAGTGATAAGCTGCTAGTAACACCGTACCTGATCCATCTCTCAGTACGATTCCGATGGCTGCTAAACCATCAACCGGGCAGAAAGATCCATCGACAGAGATTGCAACGGTACCCGTCCCAGGAGCCGGCCATGGTGGCGCTGGCTGTTTGATCCAAGTTTCAGACTTCTGCTCAGAGACCAGCATTTTACCTTTGATTATCTCCTCCATAGAGAAGCGACTAGCGAGGCGAATAGATTTATAATAACTATCCAAATATTCCACCGTTACTGCCGTTGCTGGCACTTCCTTCCCATGGGCACAATTATTCCGCAGCTGCCATATCCTCCAGAGTAACATGATCATCATGTCGCGAACTTGGTCCGAACACTGCATGAGCAAAGACAGGAGCCATTCCTTGCCAGTGTTGACCAGCAAAATCATCCGAAGTTGAGTTACCACACTTTGCTGTACATTTTTGTGAAACTTATTTAAAAGCAACTCCAACGGCCGACGCAAACGGACGGCGTTTTTGTCTGTTTGTTTGGGTCGGCCGACCGCCCACCGTCCGCCCTCTTTTAGTTTTGGGTCGACAGTGCATTCAATGGGTCGACCCATTTTCATGACCGCGCGCGTTTAACATCGTGTCGTCGCTCTGATTTTGACGCTCCAGCACGCGGGAAAGGTCGCGCGCGCGCCGTGGCCGGCGCTCGCTATAAAAGAAAGCGCTCTCTCCACACTTTGTCGGCCGCCCACTCTCGCCGCCTCTGCGCCACCATGTCGATCCGCCGCCTACGCGCTTCGGATTTTCGCGGAGTCCGCGAGCGCCGCTCCGGCGCCTTCTCCGCCGAGATCTGGTTTCGCGAGAAACGTCTCGCCCTCGACACCTTCGACACCGCAGAGGAGACGGCCCGCGCGCACGACGCGGCGTGGCGCCTCCCGCGGCTTTTCACCGACGAGGATCGTCGTGTCCACCGGAGGCGACAGCGTCGCCTCGCCATCACAGAGAAGGACGTGTAAGCCTTGGTGCTGTGGCGTGGAGGCTGCCCGCAGGACATCGTCGACGAGCGCCAGTTCTACAATCAATTGAGATCGGAGAGGGACGCGAGGAGGAGGGAGCGAGCCGCCTATCGGGAGGACAAGCGTTCGCGGAAGCAGGCAGCTCAATTGAAATTGAAGTTACGAGAAACGGCGGGTTGGGGACTTTGAAGACGAGGCGTATGCTGACGCCTACATTCAGACATCGGAGGAGAACATTACCGAGTTGGAGTCAGAAATCGACGAGTAGTGGTCTTTTCTTTTTATCTGCGTGCGCTAGAATTATCTATGTATCCATTTTTATCTGAAAAAATGGCTGGCGGCGTCGGCGACGTGGCAGGCGGGCGAGGGTGTGAATCCAATGTGCCACCGCCCAGCGGGCCCGGTGAGGAAAGAGGGCAAGCGCGCGCGCGTCCGTCTCGTGTCCGCGCCAACGCAAATCCGGCTCAAAAATGTGCCTGGAATGGGTCGCCCGCGACGAAAAACGGACGCGGCCCAAACGGACGCGGGCGGACGAAATGGGTCGCCCCATTGAGTTGCTCTAAGGTTAGTTGATTAAAATGAGAGTCACAAGTTGACAAGTCTAAAAAAATTATTATATTTTTTATGTGTATGTCATGTGAGTGTGGCTTGCCTAAGGTATGCTTTGAACCAAACAATCACCTAAACTGATTAAACTTGACTAACTTTACGTGTGCCAACCTTTGACATGTGCCAACCTTTGACAAATTTAGTCACAAATCAATCACCCCTTTGATTTCCTCCTGCGTGCCTCCAGGTTTTTATACCTCCGAAGAAGCGGATCTGAGACATATATTGAATTTAAGCCGCTGTACAACACACACCTAGAAAGTTACAAACAGGTCCCTAGGGACCGACTCACGGCGCCGCCGTCGCCACCGCTCCCTCCTGGGGCAGCAAGTACCCTTGGACATGCGCACAGATTGATGACGGGCGAGAAGTCTGCACCTTCGATCCAAACAGACCAACTCGTTAGAAAGAGGATTAACCAATAGAACAGCATCACATGCGCCCGCTCAAGATGTTTCGAGCACATCAAGACACTGCAACCGGTGAAATCCGATAATTTCGAAGCCCATAAGCAAAGCCTCCTGTAGCCCAAGAATGGGATGCCCATATCACATGACCATCGTCATCGCCCTGCCGACCGCGCAGGGGGCACCAAACCTCATCGGGACTCCAGATCCGCGGGCAACAACAACCAGCAGCTCCTCGACAAAGGCACTACTCAAGCGGAAGTCAGCTCATACATTTTTTTTTTGGCGAAATAAGTCAACTAATAGTTGGGACTGTTGTTTTTAGAATAATACATGTGGGACTGGTGAGGAAGTACTAATGTCATTGCTAACGGGTTTCAAATACTCACTTTTTTGTATTTAGTCCGCATACTGGTTTTTATAAAAAATAGTATAAACATTTACAATATCAATTATATATGATGTACTACTCAAAAACATTATTTACGATATAAAAACATATTTAAGGATGAATGTAACGGTATTAATTTGACAATGTACATGTTAATATTTTTCTATAACTATGGTCAAAAGTTTACAAAATTTGATTTAAGACAAACATAAAATGCACAACAAATAAAACAGATTCGTGATCTATTTATTCAAACTCATAAAATTTTCTGTTTTTAATGCGTGTTCTTTTTTCTAATGCGTGAACTATTTATTCAAACTCGTGAACTTTTTCAAATTCATGACTTACCTTGATTCACGAATTGTTCTTCAAATTAATGAACTTTTTTCATATTTTCGATTTGATTTTCAAATTTGTGAACTTTCTATATTGGTGAACTTTTTCCAATATCCACAAACATTTTTTGTGTTAAAATACATTTTTAAAATTTATGAACTTTTTTGTATTTCTGAACATTTTTTAAGTCTCGAACTGTTTTTTGTATTCACGGACAATTTTCAAATTCGTGAACTTTTTTTGTATTTTGCAAAAAAATCAACCCCTAAACTTCTTTCTGTATTTGAGAAGTTTTTTTCCAAAAAATTTAAAGTCAACGGTCAACTAGGGTAACATGGTGAATGGTCAAAGGTCAAATGGTCAACCAAAGAATGAGCCTTTTTTTAGGAAAACCAACGAATGGGTTGGCAGAGATCGAGCGAGCGTCCAAATCCTATTCGGTGCCCATTGTGCTGGCTATACGGGGGAGTCGATCGCTGGTTTTGGAAAGCTTCCTGGACGTTTTTTTGGGTTCGTATCAGCTTGGTTTCAACATACTTGATGTTGAATATCAGGGTGATACATCGGGACAATATGTAGTTATATTGAAGAAAAAATATATGAATTCATTTATTATTCTTGATCAAAACATCTAATTTTAGTGAAAATGGTGTATAATTCTAGATTGAGCATAACAAATTTGGACTCCCAGATTATTAATAGATTGATGAAGAAACCATTTAAGAAATTTTCAGAAGATGCTTACTAAGATTATAAAGATACAATGATGTTGTCAATACATAATCTTAATATTTTCCACCATTTTCGAAGAAAAAACTGTTGTCATCTACTCCTTTGTCCCATAATATAAGGCCGTTTTTGTTAGTCTAGTGTAAAAAACGCTCT